CTTGCTCAACAATGCTCCGCCTAGGTGTTTCCACTGATGTAGGGATCGAACCTGTGACCTTGCACTTATCGAAAAAGCCTTAACACCACTGTATTGTGACCTTCATATATTGTTTTGTGTTTTCAAAGGCTGGGACTGAGCCCAAAGAGTGGCAGGAAGATAAAATGTCTCTCCCACTTTTCCCCAGCAAAGTCTTAAGGTAATGAGGCTGCATGATATGTTGTGATCCCAAAGCTCCTCTAAGAGAACTTTAATTAAATACTGTGAGCTAGCAGCTTGCTGTAGAAGAACAACATATTCTTTGCATTTTATCTGCACAAATGACTGCATCTGGGTTTTTCGGCCAGAGAGGGTTTTTCTCTAAAGATGTAGGTGTAGGTCCCACTTGTGTTGCTTTAAATCTGACTTCCTAGCAGCACAAGTTTCCAAGTTGCTGACAGAATTAGCGCAACGCCAGCCAGTTCCCCTCTTTGTCACTCTCTCCCGTTTCACTCCTCCTCCGATAAGCGAGTCCAATCCTGCTGATGTATCCCTGTCTTCAGTCAAACTCAACAACGTGCTTTCAATGAGCCGACAGCTTTGGGTCCCTGCAGTAGATCATCTCTCCACATCAGAGGGATCTAGGCTCTGCTAAACCTCACCTTCATAAAACATTCATCTTTATCTCCATCTCTAACTACATGCAAACTCTCTTCCTCTTTAAATATTTCTCTACCATGTGCCCTTTTTTTTTTTTTTCTCTGAGCATCCATCACCTCTAGTGCTTGCTGAAAAGACACAGATCCTGTCGGGAAAAGTGACACTTTATGCAGTTACTTGGCGTTTTCAACCTGTGACAAGTGATACGCCGATTTAGCCCACAGAACCCACACGGGCCTGTCAAACCCTGTGACCTTCAGGCTATGGGACACTTCCTCTAACCGCTGGATGCTCCACGCCTGTGTCAAGCATTAATTCATTACTTCACAGTAATAGCTCAGTCATGCTTACTTAGTAACCGGCGAGGGAATTTGCCGTGTCCTACATTTATATTCTGCATGTCGTTTGCCCTTTAGCACCTTCGGCTTGCTTGCTGAGAAATCCACTTGTCTGTTGTGTGCAGTCGTTAACAGCTGCGACCACCTGTGTGGCCATTTTGCTGCAGCGTGTGGTGCGAGTATGGGTTTGTGTATGGCAAGAGCATGACAACACTATAACATTATTGCAGCACTGCAGTTGGGAAGACAAGTGGGGTTATTAGCATTAAATAAGACCTTGCTTCTCGCGGACATTTTCTAAATTTGTCGCCGGGTGTCAAGGGGGTGTTGGGAGGAATTCTGGGTCCTTGCGTCCTTGCCAACTTCCCCCAAAAAATGCCCAGATGAGGGAGACAGAGTGTCACCGCTTTCGGTGACGTGAGGATTCGGACAGGTTCTTGGCAAAGCTGCTGCAGGCCATTTGTTTTTACGAAGCACGAGCACACACACACACACACACACACACACACACACACACACACACACACACACACACACACACACACACACACACACAGAGAGAGTCCCTGGAGTGTCCTCTCAACAATCAACGCTCAACTGCAATAAGCTGAACCCAACAACAGCATGTCTGCTGCTCAATGTCTGTTTGTGTGAGCGGCAACTGAGCACTTGAGTGTGTATTAACAACGTGTGTTTGTGTACGAATATGTATGCAGTCATGTGTAAAATTTGCATGTTGAGTGCATCTGTACGTGTGTGTGTGTGTGTGTGTGTGTGTGGTTGTGTGTGTGTGTCTCTCTCTGATGACAGCAGGCTGATTAAGCTGTTGCATAGTAATGAGCTATGGTTGTCTGTCTGGCAGCTGCTCTGACAACCTCTTTTCACAACTAGCCCTCCCACACACACACACACACACACACACACACACACACACACACACACACACACACACACACACAGGGATATAAGTGCATGCACCGCAATTCTAAAAAAGCATCAAAGCTGACAACTGCACTGATGTGGTGTTATTGTTGCTGCTGTAGTTAAATCACTGGGAAAGTTGTGCTAATGCAGGAGAGGGTAATTGGTGATACATTAAAAAGAGGTAGAACAACATACGCTGTTCCTCATAACCAGAGCTACACTTCCTCTGCTTCACCCTTTGTTGTGTTTTCATCCCGATAATGACTACCACTCAGGAATAACAGTCATTTCCTGCTTCAAATCACTGATGTCAGGACAAATATCAGCCGCAGCACAGAGGGCATCGAGTGTGTGTACCTACATGCTGTGTATTTGTATGCTTGAGTACCTGTGTGTGTGCGTATTACAGGCATCTAGTGCCCCCCCCGGCTCCCCTTCCAATCCCCCCGTCTGTTACAAATATCTCCGGGGCAACAAGATGGATGTGTGTGCTTAAAGAGCAAGCCGTCCCTCTCCCTCATTTTAACAGAGGTCAGTGTCAACACCCGGGCAAAGAACATGGAGACTGACATGCAACTGTTCAGAGGAAATGAGAAAAGAGGATTTAGAGGGGTTGAGTTTGTTGAAAACACAAATAAAGTAACTGACATATCTTTTGCACAAAAACATACAGAATTATCACCAGAAAACTACAGGAAAAGCTGTTTGTTTACTGCCTGAATGCATATGGGATGTTAACAGTGGGAAGGGTTAATCCAAAGCTAAAAATATACAATTATCCTATTCCATTGTCTCATGGTACAACTACACTAATTGCTTAAAGGGAGAGGGGTGGCGAGATTAAACAGCTCCTCATTCTGCTAGGAAGGGCAACCCCTGAGTCCCTAAGGACCCCCCCTTTAGGCCCCGCTAATGCAAAAAGAGACCAAAAGGTAATGTATATTCATCGCCTTACCTTGTTGATGTCCCCTTCCTGACATCACACATCATGCACTTAAAAGCTTCTGCCGTGTTCTTGTATGTGCATACGCTGCAGTCCCAAAACCCCTCGTCGGAGGAGGGCTTCGGTTGACGCTTCGGCCTTTAAAACAATAAATGTGAAAACAAAAAAAAAGGGGTGGGGGTGGGAGTGGGGGGAGAAAATTAAAAAAAAAAAAAAAAAACGTAAAGAGAGAGGAGGAAAGGGAGGGGGGGGGCAAGAGGAGACAAGAGTGAGTTCAGCTCGCATCCACGAAGGCTATCGATAGCAAACATCTGGGTTAGCCTATAGGATTTAGGAAATCATCTGCAAACGCGCTGTGATCCGACACTGTAATTGGCGATGAGGTTTTAACACCCGAGCGCGCGCGCGCACACCAACACACGCACACACACACACACACACACACACACACACACACACACACACACACACACGGAGAGAGAGAGAGAGAGAGAGAGAGAGAGAGGGGGGAGAGAAGCGCGCGCGAGAGGGAGAGAGAGAGAGAGAGAGGGAGAGAGAGAGAGACCGTAGAGGAAACCCATTTTTTTTCTCTCCGTGCGCTTGTCGATGTCCGCTCCCCTCTCTCCTAGCTTGAATATCTCGGCCGCTGTGACTCGGTCGTTACCTTGTGGGACTCCTCTTGTCGCCCATGCCAGACCAGGGTTTATGTGGAGGTGCTGAGACGAGCAGAAGTCGCGTTATTTCCGATAATTTTAGCAAAGAAGCGATGCGCCCGTGCCGCTCGGCTTCCAGCTGTCGTGGAAACTCCGCTTGGGAACTGGTCACGTGATTCGCCGTGGCCAATCAGAGGCTGGTTTACTTCCCGAGGCTGACATTCCTCTTGATGAATTCATGCCGCTTTCAAGTACCCGCTGTAAGCTGGTACCTCTCAGTACTCGGGTTGTTAAATATTCATAATATTTGGTTTATTGTAATAAACGTAACGTGTCCTTCGGTCGACTATCATAACCTGCCGACATATAGCTGTATTTCATTCTAATCACACACACTGCAGCTTATTTTATATATTTGCTCACCTTCAATTGGGGAAAGATGCTGTTAAAAACACCATATCATATTGTGTTTTATTTAAATGTCATTGGCACATGTTTGAGTCACTTTTATACAAATACAAAGCAGCTTATGCACATGACTTGGCATACATAAAGCTTAAATTGTAAAATCAGAAATTAGGAATATTGACGTGCAGTTACATTATATATAAAGATTACACGTGTAATTAATGTATCCTTGTACAATCAGTCGTCGTATCTTAAATAAATGTCTTTTTTTTTTGCAGCAGCAGTTATCTCTTTATGCAATCTCCTTGTATTTCTCCATACAGCGTTTTAATTACCGACAGCACTTGAAGGCAACAAAAGCCATAGTAGCTAATGTTGCGCCTACAGTAATGTGTTCATCTAAACTCGCTGTGCTGGGAATCCTCTCATATCCCTGCTTCTTCTATCGGACTCCGCAGACTGCAGAAATGCCGCAGCAGTTTAGATCACAGGCGCATAAAACATCGGGGAATCCCTACTTTTATTTGCGTGCTTCTGACGCAAGCGAGCATTTAAAAAAAATAAATAAATAAAACACATTTCCAAGCGAACAATCGTACCGTATTTAACATGCTAGTTTACGAATGATAGGGGGCTGTCCCCAAACCTCTTCATTATCAAGGACCACCAGCTTTATTCTCCATCCTCTCCCGACGATGGGATTCCCAACCGCTGCATTACAGCTGTTGCAATAATTAGGATTCAGATTACAGTGTAGGTTACTGAAGGTGGTTCAGAATGGTTCATCCCAGTTTTGAGGATCGTTTGATCTTTAATGGAAGTGTATCAAGGAGAAAAGAGGCAAAGCCCTGTGTTTTGTTACATTTCAAATTAATAGCCAATTTAATTATTTCATTTTATGTTCTAATGGCACACAGTTGTCACCACTCTAATTTCAATTATTGATATACAAGAATAATCCAAAGCCAGTCAGTAAATTGAATAAAACTAGATATGTTCAGCATCAGCAATGTTAACTTTTCTATTTCTATTTACTTCAACTGACTAAGCAAAGTCAATAACTGTTTCTGTGTTAACACTGGAAAACCCAACACCTTATTTGGTCTGTCATTAAGAAACATGGTTTTATTGGCTGCAATTGAAAAACCCATCACCCTAATAACAATTTATTTATAGAAACATAAAAAAGGTCTCAGTGCTATGTACAAAAGGAAAAATCTAATGTCATCAGTGTAAATAGAAGCATGTTTTTAACAACCCCACTACGATACAACATAACTTACAAAGCAATATTTGACAATAACTTTTTGCAGACGTCCAAACTCTGTTATTAGTCACTGAGCTCCTCCTCGTCACTGAAGTATGCGCTCTTTTTGATCCTTGGTTTCTTGGAGTCCGCGGATGTTGAAGCGTGAGCGCCGTCCTCTTGAGACAAAAGCACCTGCTTCCTCTGTGTCTCCTCTTCCTCCATACGGGCTTGCTGGGGGAACACGAGACAAAACAATAATGTTTTAAATGCAAGAAGTTTTTCCATTTCCCATAGCCTCAATCTCAAACAATTATTCATAAAATGTCCTTGTTCATTTCCTTTTTAAGGAAGTTGAAGCATTTGAATTTTAGTAGAGATGTAGCAGATAGATTGAGATCACAACGACACACAAATGGGTAAACATTTCCCATAATATAACTCAGTGAACAAGATCTTGAATACACTGTTAAGTTTTCTACATCTGCACACTTACCTGAAAAGCTATGGCTTGGCTCAGACTATCTAAGGTTGGGTCCTCTCCTTCTTCTTCACTTTCCTCTTCTTCTTCACTATAAGAGAAAAAAATAATAATTAAGAATTACAAAAATGACACAATTCATATCTCACAATGTCGGCTATGATATACTTACACTTGTTCAGGTTGTTGAGCCATTTTCTTCTTTTTCTTTTCTTTCTTCTTCGGAGGTTCCCTCTCCCCCAGAATGTTTTTGGGGCATGCATAGCTCAGATGACCCGTATCCTGTGATGTGATGACATTCAAAAAGACAGAAAAAAGATGACACTTGCAACTGAATCAAATTTGACAATCTCAAAGGGGAAAAAAAATGTGTGTGTTAATATGCACTGACCCCACATTCGTAACATTTCGACTTGTCTGTGTAGTTTCGTCGCCTTATAAACTCAGTTGCTCGCCCGTTGTCTACGGCAATGCTCGCCTTCACTGTTCTGCCAAACAACTGGAAAACAAACACATCTGTAACTCAAGTGACCGGTGAATATCCAGGAAAGAAACATCACTGCACAGGACACGGTGGTGACATACAGAACATGGAAACAAACGGTCTTAATGTGAAACAAACCCACCTGTTTGTTGTTCACTGCTCTTGCACAGTTATGAGCTGATTCTCTGTCCAGGAAGAGAACAAAAGCCACCCCTTTACTCTGGCGGGTGTCTTTGTCCTTAACGATTGTAACCCTGAAACAAACATAGCAGTAATTAATACAGATTTTAAAACTTGTAATCAAATTGCTACAGGCATGTATTCAAAGACCTGAACTGATTTGTTGTGGGTCATGTGTTCCTGGACCACTATGTTTTGTTTACACACAAATATGACAGAGCCAGTACTTACTTTACAACTTTTCCATATTTGGTGAAGAGCTGAAATGAGACAGAGTGCCCTGTTTATGTATTGAAGGTTCTTGGATTCGTTGAACATAAGAGTAAATAACAAAATGCAAACAGTGAACACAACAGGCGCAGGGTGTCAGCCCGCCAGTAAACCGAAGAAAAACAACCGCAGGGACTAACTTACCTTGTGTAGGTCATTGTTGGTGAGAGAGAAAGGCAGGTTCGACACATACACAGTGCTTTTGCTTGGTGCCAACCCCCCGCTCATACTGGACGCATGTGGCACACTGTAAAAACGAAATAATACCAATTCAAGTCTAACGCACAACCAGCTACTGAGGCTCTCCAGCTAGCTGATTCATGTAACGTTACGTCTTTAAAAGTTACTTCAAGCGACCGAGTGACTAACATTAACCAAAATACTCACCCACACAGCCTCCGCCGGGTCTGGATGGCGTCAAAAGTTGTTTAAATGCGTTTAAATGTGCAGAAATGTGCAGAATTGTGCAGAATTGTGCGCATTTGCGAGCGACCACATAAACGCAACGTCTTGTGAGTCGCAACTTGATGACGTAAACACCCCTCGTCCAATAAAAAGCGGCCGCTGTCGCTCACAGAACGGGAAAGGCTAGGCTAACTAGCCGATAGAGGGAAAGGTGAGATTGTTTTGCTAATTCACGTGGAAGAAATGACATTTACTGCGGGTTATTTAACCCGAGTGCATATATATACGATGGCATACTACGCCTTAGACATTTCTGTGTCATTTCTGTGCGTCAGTATCGATTGGTTAGTTTGCCCTCAGATAAAGAAAAAGAAAATAAAACGTGCGGGTGTTTGCAGCATATATGGAGGCGTGCTAATTAGCAATGCTAGCTGTCCTTTCTACATGAGCTTCAGTATTTAGTTGTAAATTCACCGTCAAGAGAAAATGTTGGAATGCTTTTTGAGTTGTCGGTCGGGTGCTGTGAAGCTGGTGTTATGTTGGATGTGGTTTTTGCTTGTTAAATGTTGTGTTCTGCAGGAAGAAACCTCAGCCGGCTCAGCTGTTGGATCATGTCTCTCATGGTCAAACTGGGTTTAAATAGAGCTCTTTTTATGTTGCACATGATTAATTTCTTCGATGGGCTTGATTTTAAAGACTTGGTGTAACAGTGGCATGGAAACATATGTCATGTGTATAGCCTTAACGCTGTTTTTAATCATTCTTCTTACAGATTGGGTTTACTTTCTCAATATCACCCCGATTCACAGAGGTCCTTGAATTCAAAAGTAAGTTGGTGACTGACACATTTCTTTACAGTACGCTCATTTAATGGCAAACAAGAGAAATGCCACTACTGCTTTACTTCACATCACAAAATCTCTCAAGAACATTCAGGTTTTTTATGTTTTGTGAAAGTACTTTTGCGAGAGCGACCTCTGTGTTGCAGTCCTCACTCGAACAAAGACACTGCCAATGAATACAGAATCTCGTTTTCATTATTTATTTTGTGGAACCGCCCTGGCATGATTACATGTGCAGGTGCATACAGTATCTTTAACTCTTTACCTCTCTTCTGCAGTGACATACAGGAGAGACAGGAGTATACGAGAGGTGTATGATGAACGCTTTTTACCAGAGAGACCGGTGAGTGTGTACAAAGTGACTTCACTGTCTGTTTTCGTCACCTTGTTGTATCACATTCAAAACTATATTGAATTATTTGTTTTCCAGGCTGCCAGTATTTATCATTTGGTGAAGAAGGGCCAAAATATGTTAAACCACTAGAATAGTAATTTATTTTTATACCATATTTTTGTTGTTTTTCTACAATGATCTATTAAATAGTGTAGAGCGTTATCCCCATATGTAAACGATATTGCTTCTACTTAGACATTTGTTTCTACATCAGGTGAAGACGTCTTTAGCCAATATGTTGCCATGAGACGTTTTAACAGACAGACATTTTTAAGTTGAAATTGACTACATAAAATAATGAAATGAAATGTACCTATCCTGTTAGGGTCCGTATCCACGGGCAGCTGGAGCAGTGGAGAGGAGGGGTCCTTTTGGCAGGCCAGAGGACGACTACAACCGCGGTGGGTACGAATATGAAGGAGGTCCGCGCTTTTTCCCAAATGGAGGAGGCCCACGAAGTTACCATGAAGATCAAAGGGGCTACCACGGTGATAGCCTTCATTTCCCTGCTGAACGCAGAGCTGGCCCACCTTCAAGGAGGGTGAGGGCATAAATATCATACAAAACATTGTTGTAGAGTTTATCGTATACATATGGTAAACAAGAATTACATGAAATGTATAGAGAGTAAACATTTGTGAAGAGGAGATCGATCAAAAATTGATTGGGAACTTCCAAAGACTGCCTCAACTCTGAAGAAAAAGGCACAAACAGAAAATAAGCTCCTTGTCTAACAAACAAAATGAGAATGAAATGAAAGCGATAGAAGCACATCCAAATGCAAACATGACGTTGAATGCAAATTATTTCTAATCTGCCTCATATACATGAGTATTTTGACTAGCCGTGCATATCATTTTGCACCGTTTTGATTTATTAAGAAAGCTTAAGGCAAGTGAATAAGATGTCTGTACACACAGACCATTTTGCATAGCTGCCGGCATTACAGCTGCATATTATGTTAATATTGTTGGTTTGATATGCACGCTCATAACCAGCCAGCTGTGGGTGCTGCAGTTGAACGTTCAAGTTGAAAGAGTTTCAAACCACACAGTGTGCTACATTTTAACCATTTATTATGGTAGACATATGCATTCAAGTTCAACATCTTAATTAGACTTCTTAAGACAGTCAAATTTTATAAAGAAAGAATGCCAGAAAAGTTCACTTTAATGGATTTGATCCTTTTGCCATGTGTTGCGTAGGAGGACTATCCTTACAGAGTACCCAGGGAAGAACCACACACAGGGCGGCCTTTGGAGTTTGGGTAAGGTTTTTCTGTTTGTCTTGTTGGATATTATCATTATGGACAGTAGGGGGCAGTCTTTTTCCATGCGCTTGTGTTGTGAACAAGTCCTCTGTTTAATTCCTCTGGTCAGGCCAATGAGGGGGATTTCTGCAGTAGTAGGCCCCCGTTTTCAGTACCTGTTTGAGATGTTAGTTTACATAGCAGCAATCATAAATCATGGTCTGTTCTGACCCACATTGGCCTGTCTCACCCTGTTCACATTTTTTGCGGTCACAAAGCTCGCCAGACTCCACACTTTTATAGGTTGGACGACTCTTCAGTTTAACTATGGCTCTTAGCTGCAGATTGGGTTGCAAAAATTAAGGCTAGAGATTTTGCTTGACAGATTTACAATATTCACTCAAAATCCTTCGCTCTGGTCCCTCTCAGTCGTTTTGGTTAATGTATTTTTATAGTTTAATTGCCAAAGCCAAAGCAGTCTGACCACATGTGACATTTAACAAATGCAGTCATTATTTTACCTGCTTTTCATGGTGGCCATCTAAGAATTACAGCTTTATACTTTATTATGGAGTGTTATCTAAGTATTGAAATATATAAATGTTAAAAATATGAAGGGGAAAACTTAGCGAAACTGAGGCTTTTTTCCCCCTCAAAATCAATGCAGCTGTTGCCCTTTTATAATTTCATGTGATTTGTCTTCCATGTTTTTGAAGAACAGCTTCATTTTTTATATTCTAATGTCTTGGAAAATTAAAATTACATATTTCATAAAATAATGTTGCATATGATATTTTTTTTAATATAGGTGTGCTGGAGTATAGTAAAACACTAAAAGTGGTGCATTTGCATCGTGGGAACACATTTATTGGGTTTTCAGGTCGCACCTGCGCTGTTTGATGGTGCCAAAATAAATGATGTGTTGAGTTAATATTTGACGGTTGATTTTAAGTTCACTTAGCTGGATAAAACAACAAAGAGGTGAACTAAGATATCACAATTTAGCATGACTTTAGATGCTCTGCTGTCTTTGTTGTTAAATTTAATGTGAAAAGTTACATGATTTGATCTTAAATCTCTTCAACATAGGGGGACATCTTAACACTGCACTGTTGTATACAGTTGCAAAATCAGGAAATAAAGTCATACAAATTAGTGACTAAATTCATGACAGACAAGGAAGCAAGGCTTTTACTCCAAACAAATATTTTGAGTTGTGAAAGGGCACCCAGGTCAGTTCAGGCCTGCTGATTGGTGTGTTTGGCGTGGGTGGAAGAGGTCAGTTGGGGTGTGGAGTGAGGTAAAAAGGGCACAGAGATACTGCGTTCCCAGGAGTGACACGGGGTACATGGTGTGGTAAAATGTCTGTAAAGTGTGGACAAGAATGTGCACAATTCTCAAGTCATACTGCTTATTTTCCCTGGTTTTTGTTACTGTAAACCATGAACTAAAGCTGTTAAAGGGTTCAGCATCTCACTGAGGCAACCCATACCCTGAATACTTAATCCTGGCAGAGCAGGTATTTTAACATAGTTTGAATAAAGTTAAATACAAATGGTGCTTGTTCCCATGTTGTACCGGATGTACCTGCAATAAAACAATCATTTGCGTGTTTTCACTCCCCTCAGCGCCCGTGCACCGCCTCCTCATAGCGTGCGAAGCCAGGGCATCTACCCAGCGCCCAGATCACTCCCAGAGAGCGGGGAGGATTCACTAGTGCAAGCCATCCTCAACCTGGACAGAGGGTACGAGTGAATGCATACTTGATCATTGCATAGGGCATTTGTGTGCCATATTCAAGTGCGTACAACTTATTCACTGCAGCCATCAGTAAGAGTGTAATTAGTGTGTTTGGCTAGAATAATAATGTACATATGTTTAGGCCTCACTGATGCATTTATTTTCTAAACCTACATGAGGGGAGAAACGGACACACACACAACTTGAGTTTAATGGATTTAATTACACATTTAAGATGGGCTGTGCAGTTTTGTTTCTGTTTTTAATGTAATAATTTCATTGTTTTCTGTTTCATTCTCCATCTTTTTAATTTTCCCTGTTTAGTCTTCTTGTTTTTCTGTCATCCCTCTCTCATGCACCACATTTCCAATTGTTATTATGGAGTGTCACTAAGTTTTTACATCAGGTATTCCCAGTTGTGTGTTTGTTCTGTACAGTGACCCTCTAAATGCTCGATGGCAGCATTGTGCCATGTTGGCACAAAAAAAGGAAAAGGGATTAGATTTTCTGAAACAAGATAATTTTGTCAGATGAGGAAGAGAAGCTAAGTTGTCATCCACGTTTGGACTATTACAATCTCGACAGCCCACACTTTCTCCTTTGCTCTTCCAGGGAGGACAGAGACCACTACAGGAGAAAGGCAGCTCCATTCCCACCACTTAGAGAGCGTTCTCCTGTCCGCCGCGAGGTGGCCCGCTCCCCCCACAGTCGCTCCGGCTCCAGCGTCAGCAGCAGAGGCTACTCACCAGACAGAGCCAAGAACCTGCCATTTCCCTCACAGCAAGGCAAGAGTATGTAGAACTTGGAGTTTCCCCTCCCCCTGATGCAGCGTGGAGCTCTTTTAAACCGCTTTGTGTCCATCCAGGCACAGGTGGAATTTAATACTATAAATTCTA